GGCCCCTCCTCCAGCCGCTGTGCTCGGCAGGCAGGCTAAAGCTCAGAGGGTCTGGGGCCAGGCCCCCCTGAGCCGTCCCAGCCCCGTCCCTTTCTCAGCCTCCGGTCCCGGGGTGAGGCCTGTCTCAGTCCTCTCGAGGCTGGAGCTCAGAGGGTCTGGGGCCAGGCCCCCCTGAGCCGTCCCAGCCCCGTCCCTTTCTCAGCCTCCGGTCCCGGGGTGAGGCCTGTCTCAGTCCTCTCGGCTCAGGTTCTGTGGTACACTTGGACTCGGACTCTGGAGCAGTCAGTGCATGACAGAACTTGGGCTTGGACGGACCCTTCCGCAGAGCGCCCGCGGCCCCCACCCCCCTCTGGCTCTCGGGCCGGGGCATCGGGCCTGGATCGGGGCCTCTGGCTTCATGGGGAGGGCTGTGGATTGGAACCAGGCCAGGGGCTCTTTGGGCACTTCCAGAGGGCGGAGACAGCCCTGCAGCCCCCTTTCCGCCTCCTCAGGTCACTGGGGGGGGGCGACCCCGTCCCGGGGCAGGGGAGGCACCCAGGTTCTGGAGGCGCCACCGGGCCGCTGGCTTCATGCTGCCCTTGTGTCAGTTTCAGGAGCCTTCCCTCTACACGGTCAAGGCCATTTTCATCTTGGACAACGATGGACAGCGCCTCTTAGCCAAGGTAAACGCCACCTGGCCTGGAAGCTACACACTGAACCCAGGCCTCTGCCCCCCAGGAGATGGGCTTTGGCTCTGCCCTTCCCCACCGGCCAAGGCGCAGGTCTCCTTTGCCGCAACCCCACATGCTGAGGAGATGGAGAAAGCTACCTGGGCCAAAGCCACCTCCTGGGCCGTATGGGCCAGCACAGAGGGCACCTGTCCGGCCTTCTGGGCTCCATTCTCAGCACTGCTGAGAGCTCGGGCAGCTCAGAAGCCCTGTGACAGCTCTCGCGGGGAAGCAGGCCGAGCGCAGCTCCAGCAGCAGGAGAGGGCCCACGAGTGCAACGCTCCCACACTCATCTCCCCCACCTTGAAATCAGCCACTCACCTCAGAACACACGTCCTGCGTGGGGCCTGTGTGACCCGGAGGCCGGGGTGGGCAATCAGCCAGGGTTAGCCTGCGTCTCCGCAGGTACGGCCGCTTGCAGCTCCCATTGGCCGCAGATCGCTGTTCCCGGTCAATGGGAGCGGCGGGAAGCGGGGGCGGACCCAGACACCACTTCCTACAGCTCCTATTGGCTGCAGATCACTGTTCCCAGCCAATGGGAGAGGTGGGGACCTAGACCACTTCCTACAGCTCCCATTGGCTGCAGATC